ATAGCAAGTGAATTAAGTATTGCATGAATATCGAGCTATGCGATGTGGAGTAAAGTGAACTCATTTTAATGTTTTATTTATGTCAACATAATGCTTGTTATTCTGATGGAAATATCAATAAGAATTGTTCTATTGCAGACGTGATACATGGATTCATTTACCACAAATTTTTCACAAAATCAGCAACAATTGGAAGTATTTACTTTGTGCTTAATCTTCAATGTGAGATAATTAACGATAATTGAAACGATAGTCATAAGAAAAACTTTATGTGATGATATTTTCTTAATTATGATTTACTGTGGCTGTTACTTTTTTTAATTGCGTGTCTAGACTTTATTAGACATCAACAGATTTCTTCTTTCACTAGACAAGAACTCACAGTACTGAAGGTATGTGATACTGTTTGTAGTTATAAAAAATCACAGAACTGAAGGTATGTGATACTGTTTGTAGTTATAAAAAATCACAGAACTGAAGGTATGTGATACTGTTTGTAGTTATAAAAAAATCACAGAACTGAAGGTATGTGATACTGTTTGAAGTTATAAAAAATCACAGAACTGAAGGTATGTGATACTGTTTGTAGTTATAAAAAAATCACAGAACTGAAGGTATGTGATACTGTTTGTAGTTATAAAAAAAATTTGATAATCTAAGTCAACGCCTGATATAAGAAAATATATTTATAGGCAGTTGCAGCATGGAGGTTATAATAAAGTTTAGTTTCATGAAGTTTAAACCTGATAAATGTTTTGATAAAGAAAGCTCATTACGCAAGTTAGTAGACTAATACTTCTTCCTTAGACAAGAAATCATAATTATAACACTTTTACGATTTAATTGACATATCTGAGCCATTATCTGATTAGTTATGGCATTTGGTAGATTATGAATTTGAAAATATGTTGAAACATGCCGTGTCCTTGCTAACTAAAAAACAATAAAGAATTCAACCGCAAATGTTTTGTTGGAAGATGTCAACATCCTTTTGAACAAAGACTGTTTAAAAAATAGCGTTTAAATGAAACAATTTAAAATGTAATTAGCCTCTTTCATAAAACTTACGATGCAAAAAATTCTTTCTTCATAGTTTGTGACAAAAAGCATTTCTGTCGGATGTTAATTTTTTAATTGATACAAATTCTGATCGAGACGACGTGATGGGTTTTTACTTTCCGAAGAACTAATTATTTTATCCCCTGAATAATCCGAATATATATTGAGAATTTTGTTTTATAGGTCAACATGATCTGTTCTTGTTTGGTGGAAATTTTTTGTGGGAACTAAATGTAACAGACATTCAAAAAGAAAAGGAGGTGTTTTTTTTTTTGGATTTAAATCCAAAAAATTTTTAATAACCCAGGGGCCCTACAGTGTTTAACATTTCTCCCCTCTATAATAAAAAATTACTTCCCGCAATAATGCATAAACCCTTTGGGGGGGGTAACTTAGATAATGAAATCAAAAAGAATATTTTTTAATTTTTATGTTGGGGTATTTTGTCAATGGGAAATTCCCCTTTTAATGTGATTGCTTTATAAAATTTACTGAAAAATATGGATTAACCCATTTGTCATAAAATTGTATACAACTGCAATTAAAAAAGTCCCCAAATTAAAAAAATTTGGGGCAACTGGGGAATTTGTCAAATTTGTCGTATAAGTACGGGGGGTCTGTCAGTCAATCATGGGAAAAAAGTCAACACATTTTTTGTCCGACCAAAAAAAAATAGAAGGTCTGAAAAACTCAGGTTTTTTCAGTTTTAGGGATGGCGGTTTTAAGTTGTGACTAAAAAGAAATTGGGTTTAACAGTAAACGGCCAAAATAAACCATGTCATTGACCACGAAAATGTTATTCATGCTTGATGTGTTCATGTGTAGTTTTGTATGATTTTTATTGATGATTCATAAGTCTTTGGACTTTAATTTATAACAAGAGCTATACGTAAGACAGCGTGCTTGACGATCTTCAATGCTAAACAGTGCGACCAGGTCATAGCTATATAAAAATGACCACGGTTTATGTGACTTGTGTCCATCAAATGCCACAAAGAACAAGGGGGTGAAGTTTTAAACCATTCTATTTAGGAGTGTTTGAGTTACCAACTTGCAAAACTAACTTAACATCGAATTGTCGAGTTAAAGCAAAACATAGTTATTATACGGCATTAAGATATTAGCACTAACAGACATCTATTGTGTTATTTTACTTTGTAATAAAAATATATTTTAAAATCATGAATTTTGTTCTCAGTTTGTAATAGCATTTCACTACAGTTAAAAGATGAGGTTTCAAAAAACGAACATATACAAAAATATTTACTGAAACTGAAAATACACAAATAAACTATAAATGAAGTAAAAGAGAAAGTATACACGTCTTGTTTTATAATTGTTCTTTTCCTGTATGATAAGTAGACCTCACTTTCATATATTAATGTGCTTTAGATTACTAAGTGGTTACAAAAGGAATATCGTATTTGTAAGTTGTTTTCATTAATTTGAAATAAATTCTTTATCGACAAATTTACTTTGTCGTTAAACAATAAGTAACAATTTGTTACACTAGTGTAAAATGAAGACAAAAAATGGTAAATAATCAATGAATCACTATATTATATTTTCTAAATCAATGATTTTTTAACCTTTACCTGTCTAACTAACTAACTAACTAACTAACTAACTAACTAACTAACTAACTAACTAACTAACTAACTAACTAACTAACTAACTAACTAACTAACTAACAAATTAACTAACTAACTAACTAACTAATTAACTAACTAACTAACTAAATAACTTACTAACTAGCTAACTAACTAAGTCACTCACCCACTCACTCACTCACTAAATATCGGGAGTGCACTAGTTATTGTAATGTCAGGCTTTGGCGAATTTGCATAACAGTCTGGTTTCGACTTTTGAACTGTGCGTTGTCACATGTAATCTTTTCAATATTAAAAAATTAAAACGGATGTGGTAACAAATTATTGTCTAACTGCATTCATTTATTTGCATGAGTCAATAAATTGTGAAAGAAAATTTATTATCAATTAAAGCTTTACAGATATTGATGTGATATGTCTAATTATCCGCTAACATTTCATTGTTATGTAAATGGATATACTCAAGTTGAAATAATACTATGATGCAGTTTTTACATTGCAACAGAAAGATACGATAAAATATAACAATTTAATCAATACAATTCCCTGTTGGCATGGCACTGTGAAGTTTACTCTTCGGAGCATGGATGCTTTAGATCAAAAAGGTAGATTAGAATAATGATTCATGTCAGTCAACCGTTAGTACTTCAATATAATAGTAATCTAAGCGTATCATATTACCAATTACTTATGTAAAACATATTTACAAACTGAAACAAAATAACCCATTAGTTGATTATTTATTTTAATTTGAACATGGTAATTGAAGTGGTTTAGAAAATGTCCTATAAATTATAAATTAAGTTTTACTTCAATATCATTCTTGTTTGAAATTTTGTATTTCCAATTGACGGCGCTTCATTTTTCTTTACTTCATTTAAGTTATTATATCGGTACCATCCTGTCCCGTTACATCATCGTATTTTAATCGTTAGGAGTGTCAAGGTTCAAATAATGCTTACCAATTAATCGGCGACCTAATAACGTTATTAAACTGATAGTACGAACAGAACTCTTAAATTTTGAACAATAATTTTGTTCTTTATGACAAGATATGCCATTTAGTTCTTATTTTGTTGTACTCAACAGGATTACAAAAGATATCCAATTAAAGTGTAACTATTTACCGCGACGGTCTTAAAGCACACAATAAGATAGCATGAAACACTTGTGTTTAGGACCAAAATGGAAAAAAATGTCTGTAAATTGTAATAAAAGATAATATATTAAATAATTCTAAAACGTGTTCGGCTATTGGTCTAATACTTACCTCGGTTACTTTCTCAATAAACGTCATACCTCTAAAACTGTGTAAAGGCTTGACCACGAAGCAGGTTAATTCTTTTTAACTCATCATGATAGACAAATTCGTGCCATCATTTAATTATCTGTCATTTTACTGAGTGAAAACTATAAATGATTGGGAAAATCAGATTCTTAACACAATCAGATTTAACTTAAAATAATGCAGTTATCATGCAAATTGATACGTATAGCCAGAAAAAGAAAACAACCAATAGCAACAAATTATTCATATGAACGATTTAAAGCAGTATGCCTAAAGATACACAAAAATATTTTAATAAATCAAAGTAGAAAGACTCAAGATTTAAGTAATATTTTACATGTTATGAGCGATAAATAGTGATTCTTTCATTATGTGTAATTATATTTCCACCGCGTTACTAACGCAGTTAATGTATTTTTGCATATTTTGACCTCTTTTTGTTATTAACATGGGTTGTAAGTGCCATTGATAATGTTTAAAATGATTCCTTTTGGTAACTTTACAATAATATATATCTAATGTTTTTTTTTTTAATTTTCAAAAAATTTATCAAAATAAGCATGAATCTGGAGGCATATTTATCAATAAGATCAAATAATTATGTGGTTATGTGCACAGCATCCAGATTCCAGACACTCCAGTTCAATGAACATCTTTTAGCGTTCGCATTTACAGACAGCATGCAAAATAAATGATACATATCAGAATTAATGACACTGGTGTTAATCGTTATTTCTGGCACTTTCTCAAGAGAAGTGAAGTTTTTATAGCTAATCTAATATGTCATTTACGATGTATATTTCTAGTGTATGAAAAAACGAACCAGTTGTATCATAATCACATCCAATATGTTACATCACTAGCACTACTGGATTACTGTAAGTTATGATATTGTAAACAAATGTTTGTCATGAAAACTTGAGTGATAAAATCGTTAACTTTAGTACATTGAGAGATGGAAAATGTGCTTTAATGATTTATTTAGGTGCATATTGAATTTAAACGACAATGGATTACAAACTAAATATGTATCTACAATGAAAATTATATCTTGAGAAAATTGGCATGCACATTTTTTTTGCAAATCGCCATTGTGAAGCATGTATAACATGACTGTTAAATCATTTGACTCTTTTTGTGCTCTTACCTACGAAATTTACATTTAAATTTTCTTCTCACTAAAGGGAAGATATTTAGATCTTATTTAATGTATAACGAGCCGCAAAAATGTAATATGACGCATGTTCCACTGCGGAAGTTAAATCAGTCAACATAAACTTTGTGAAAGATAAAATGTAATATTATCGTTGTACAAATACGTTCTTAAATAATTGTATTCTTTTAGGATTCATTGAAGAAGGCGGACGATGGAAAAACGTGACATGATGATGGGGGAATTTCGTTTTGTAATTTTAATATTATGTGTATATCTATGTTCCATTAGGTTTATTCATGGACAAAATGTACTATCGAGGTATGTATCCAATTACAATGTCATGCAATCTATTAAAGAAATAGTGTTTGTCAAATTAATTGTCCATCTTTATTTTACCTTACCTTTTTACGTGACAAAATCTTTCTATTAGCATTGCACTTTGATTAAGCATTAAACTGGTATAGAGTTTATCTTACTAGGTGACCTTAATTTATTTTGTTTGTTTGTTTTTTTCTTTTTTCTATTTGAACAAATAAATATTGAAACAAGATTGTTATACTGATAAGACTCACACGAAGTATTGCTAATCTACTACATGTATATTGTATTGTTTTATAATGAAAAGAACATAATCCACTTACCAGACGACATTTACAGCAGATACCATTTTTTCCAACATGTAAGCATCAATATGGACGTCTCTATTGTTATCTGGGTCAGCATGCAATATGACCGACACAAATTTTTAAAGATGGCTGCACACATAGACTTTTCATCAATTTCAGATGCAAAAGCAACATTCGCAAGTACGCACGCATTCACAGAAACACGCGCGCATACAGTGCACATTAATATATAGATTCAGAATGTTGCAAATGTAAACTGTAACATCAAGTATAGCACTTGATAGTTCTGACAAATTCTAATTATTTAGTAAATTTGTCCACTTCCTTTCCTTTTAGATAATTAATAATGGTCTAAAGGGCTACCTTCATTACAATTTCATTAATTGCTACTACTATTTTTTTCTCTCCTCTTTCTTTGATAAATATTTACTTTTATCATCTGTTAATGAAAGTGATCAAACATAAACCATATAAAAAATGCAGTTTCTACAAATGAATTTATTAATCTAATATTTAATTTGTTATCATTATTGTGCTTGTGGTGAATCGTATTTCTATTCGAAACAATGTTAAGGCCGCTCCAATGTTATAAACTTAATCTTTTGATTATTTCGCCTATATGTGTGTTGCTTTTTTTCTTGCTCAATTTATATTTTATTCACTACAGGCGTGCGATCACATCGACATTGCTCGATCCATCAAAATATGATTCCAACATCGTGCCAGACTTCGATGAAGGTATGTACATATATACACATATACACATATCTAGGTAATACGTTTAAAAGGAAGTTTTTAATGTTCTAGCATATGCTTTATCTCTTATGTAACTAGTTTTATATCGGAGCACGGGTTTCTTTTCCTTCCCTTTGCCTATTACGTAATTGTTACCGTTTTATTTATTGAATGTAATTTAAAGCAGCATGCTTCCAGATTCATTCTTATTTTGATAAAAATTTTGAAATGTATTAAAAAAGACTTTTTTTCATAACTTCTCTTTAAAGGCGCAAAAATTAACAAATAAAAATGAAAACATACAAAAAAGGCTCTTTTTGCGTATCTAACGCAGTAAGTATATGCTGACAAGTAATGCAAAATCAGTCGTTCATTGCGAGTAACATGTAAATTCTTACTAATACATTAAAAGTATCTTTACTTATATCTTAGTACATGTGCGGGGGGGGGGGGGTCATCTGGAGGCAAGAAGCTTTAATTTCTGAATTTAGATAGCGTACGATTAATACACACTAATATATTAACCCATTACTTCATGAGCATTGTGTGAAAAATGGCTGTTTTCATTGAAAAGTCTCCCGTTACAAGTTCAAATTGCTATAATACTGCTTCAACACTAATCAAACTTGGCACAAATGTTGACTGGACCAATGCCCTTGCAACAACATGCTCAGGCTTAAATTTTCTGTTACCATGGCAACGAGGGGACATCTCAAAATTGCCAAAAATCACTATTTTGCGTTGATTTTTTCCATCATAATTGATTTCAAAGTGCTGCAACTTCTCAATGGATTGAGATAGAGTCAAATGCTTTTTAGCGTTGGTTACACGTTACCCTATGACCAATCTGAGGTCATTTATAGCCTCTCACAAGTCCAAAATTTTTTGGCGATGAGAGGGACTCCGCCCCCCTTCAAACCACCCAAACAGAAGGGGGCACATCCCCCTTCTGGCAACCCCCTGATGTATCTTTTGGTTGGGGGCCGCGCCGAAAAAGTGGTCACTTTTTTAACAACATTTCTCAAACAAAAACAAGTGTTGGGGGCCTAAATAAGGCATTTTTTCACCATTTGAGACAACAAAAAAAAGGGGTGGGGTTGAAAAAGGCGTTAAAAGGTGTGTATATGAAGTAATGGGTTAATAAATACATCTATTTAGATGTATCCAAGGTAAATATATATATTGTCATTCTATTTTTTTGCACTATATTATACCGAAAAAACTCTTATGCTGGTTAAAGTTGTATCTGTGTAACTAGAATTAATTTTGCAATTAACTTGTATAACCATATTTCATCATAGTAAAAATCTTTTATGGTAGAAAAAACATTTCTATTAACCATCCGTACACTACAACGTTAATTTAGTCTGTTGGCTATGATTAACATAAAGATTTATATTGACATCTGCTTCCACACTTTATTTTTAAATTTTATCTTTCGATATGCACTACTCCAATCTTTTTTGCCTGGAAATGCAGGTGATTATATTTAAAGTTTACATCACGTTGAAATAAGATTTACTATAAATCATTGTCAGTGGTGTGTAACCTTAAAGAGACAAAATATTAATCCGAAGCATATCTTCGTGTATAATAAAACATTCAAACGTATCATGAATACATTGTTTTGTTTTAGAGTATCCTACAAATGTGACGATTCAAATTACTATACATGACATGCATTCAATCAGTGAGACTACAATGGTAAGTTTATTGACAGTTAAATTCTGCAAAATTAAAATATACATTTGCTTTTAGCCCTTTATCAGGATGCATTAGTGTGAAAAAAAAGAATGTAGAAAATGCAAAAATTGCAAAATGCAAAAAGAAATCTATGATAAGTTTCGAAACGAAAAAAGCATACACATATGACTTTTGAAATATTTCAGAACCAGCATAAATGTCAGTTTAATTTCTTTGTTAAAGTTGTTAATGATGGTGAAATTTCTTGTAACATAATGGTATAAAATGTTAATAAATAATGGTTACATCCAATCCGTGTGAATACTATTTAAAAACGGAAGAACATTTTAAAGAATTTGACTGGTGTCGGAACACCTCGGTTCTTTTTAAATAGACTAAAAACTGTTTAAAGATTTTTACTGACGTATTTATACTCACAGATGTTTGCTATTACAACTCGAATGCTTCGCTGGTTTACAGTGCTTTCAGCGCTTTGATTTTCCTATTTAGGAATATTCAGTGGACGTTTACTTACGAATGTGGTGGCGTGACGAGAGACTAGATTTCAGCGGCTTAAGCAACATTTCAAAATTAGAATTGGATTCAAAGTCTCTAGGAAATGTTTGGCAGCCTGATATATTCTTTGAAAATGAGAAAAGAGCGACTGTCCATTCGGTGACTACGACAAACAAACTGGTTCATATCCTTAGAAATGGAACAGTGGTATATAGCATAAGGTTTGTAAACTTTAATCTATGAACTAAAAGGTTTGTAAATTTTATGGATGTTGATTTTAATAACGTTTTGGTTATATCAATCGGTCTATACAAAAAGCACATAACTCAGTCTGCCAGCAAACCTGTGATGTTTGCCACATTTAATGTTAGTGGTTGCACAATTTTTTTTCCCAAACATTGTCATCTCTTAAACTCACATTTAGATAGATTTAGATAGTTTAAATTAAAAAGTATGAATTTCGCGGAAAAATAATCAATTTCATATGCAGAAACTAAACGGGAGAAAGTTGAATATCTCTTTATGTAACCATAACATAATTAGACTTGAACAAAAAAAATATAGAGAAAAACGGAATCCCAAAAGAACGTTCAAAACGACAAAATTAAAAAATGTTGTAGGCTCGGTTTGATTGAGCCTTTTCATGGATCGTGTATCTGTGTTGATATAAGATTGGTCTTTATCAACAAGAAAATAACAGCTTCATTGGCACTTTGTTAAATAAATCTCATCTGGCTTAAAAATATATATCAAGTTGTAACCAGGAAGATATTTAACTTCAGGTGTTTTATCATTACCTCACTGTTTACCTGCATGGTGAAAAAAATATGTCGTTTTTTGTTGTTGTTGTTTTTTCACACACAAGGATGGATATTAGAAGGGCTTATTATATAGTCATGTAATGTTGCAGGAACTTGTTGCCCAATTCATTTGCTTTTTGTTATAGACTCACCATTTGTATAATATTTGGCATGCATTCGGTGCAATAAAATATGTTTAACCAATGATGCGAATTTCAAATTTCAGATTGCGTGAAATAATGAACATATACAATTTCATTTCATCCATGTCGTTGAAAAGTCATATGCGATCATAAATATGCATGCTCTGTATGGTCTCATTTCATGACAATATGCCTTTTCAAGAGAAAATATTTATCAATAATTCAAAGAAGTGTATAAAAATGTTCACGCCTGTAAGGCAAGCCATGTGACTAAATTAAGTATTAATAAGGACACAAAGAACTTAATGGTCTGGGATTATGAAGACTCGTGTTCTAGGTGATAAACAAGACATGCATGACGTGTTGTATGAAAATTTGATGCGCAAAAAGAATTGATGTGCAGTTTGATTTTATATAATGCTGTATCTTTAAAGGTGATATATTACCCGTTCAAATTAGAATATGTAATATATCGTAAATGGTTTCACAGTCTCAACTTTTTGGCCCTTTCCGTATCACCGGATAAGGTACATCGGTCTTACCAGTAAAACAAATTTGTTGAGTTTAAATATTCGTGTAGAAGTCGCCTTAAATTTGCTATATTTGTGGATATAGGAGTAACAAGTACATCACCTGGCTTACAAATATATAAACAAGGAAGATATTTAACAGCAGGTGTTTTTCACATTGATACTCACACGTTCACTGGTTATTTGTAAATCCTCGTATTTATATACTAAAAGTACAAAATGCATAATGATATTTATCACATACCCGTGCCGATTTTGCGACTAATTAAAAATGGTACTGCACGGCCGTGCATATATTTTGACGTGACGTCAGTTGCGTTATGCAAACACGGTGTAAAGACGCGCTTATTGTTAGCGTTAAAATGTAGCCGCGTCAATGAAAAATGAATCTTCTTCACTTTAAATGGTCTGTAATTTTGGTATGTGATAAATAGAATATTAATTTCGTGTAAGTTCATTACTGAATTTACTGAACTCGTTGAATAAAATAATATTATGTAACTCGTTCAATAAATTCAGTATTAAACTTACACGCATTCAATATCCTATCTATATATTAAGGATTCGGTTACAAATTATTTTTAATCAATTCTTAGAAATGTAGAATTGTTTTCAAATCATAATATTACAGAAATAGTTTGCATTTTCAAAATTGATGTCAAATAAATACATTCGTTTTCGATTATTCCAAGATAACATCATCTGTCTTTGTTAACATCAAACATTATTTTCAATCAGTACCTTTCAACAGTGTTTAATCCTTATTATTTTCTTCTACAAAATGTCACTATTAACTTTGGCACCAATACGTTTACTGATCATTTGTTACATATATTCTACTGGTTCCTAACATAAACACAATTCATTTATTATATTGTTATCTTTGAAACTAACTCGTTCACTGGTTTTTTATCAGACTATAATTATGTTGTCAACAGAATGTATATGCTTATGCATCACACATATGCTCACAGCTATTGTATCAATTGAATCATTCAGGTGTTCACTTTAACTTTCTTACTTCGTTATCTCAGACATCCATATATTTCTTGTATCATAGTTTTAAGACCTTTCTGTTGAAAATGTGACATAGTTAAATCGTATACATATACATGTATAGTGCGTTAACTGGGGTGCAGGTATTAGTTACCCGCTCTCCAGAGCATGCCCATTGATTGGTTCATTTTTGTCCGGGGTTTACATATTGTGACGACAGATAAAGAGATGCTCATTTATTGGTTACTTTTTTGTGGGGTTTCATATAGTGGTATCAGGGAACGTGTTTTTATGTTTGACTATGATACAAAATAGAAAGAACATCAAAACCCTCGGCAATCTGAGTTACACTCGGGGGGCTAGGCCCCTTCGTACAAAGCTCTCGTGTTTCGATGCTCTTTCTATTTCTTATAATGCTCATTTATATTTTAATATCTGATAACCTCTGGTACTCGCATATTCACCTTAACTTATCTCGTTATCTCAGACACACATTGTGCATAGAAAGAGCATCGAAACACGAGATTATCTGATTTGTACGAGGGGGCGTAGCCTCGAGTATTAATCAGATTGCCGAGTGTTTTGATGTTCTTTCTCTTTTGTATCATAGTTAAACATTAAAACACGTTCCCTGTTGTCACAATATGAAACCCCGGCAAAAGAGAACCAATGAACGAACATCTGAATATGATATTTCTGTCGCTTTTCCTTTCTCTGCGGTCACAATATGTAAACCCCAGCAAAAATGAGCCAATCAATGGGCATGCTCTGGAGTGCGGGTAACTAATACATGCACTCCAGTTAACGCACTCTGCATGTATATGTACATAATTTAACTGTGACACATTTTCAACAGAAAGGTCCCCAAACTATGATACAACTTTAATGTTTTATCTTATTATCTTTGTCACTCACGTGTTCACTTTTATTTTATTATCTATTTATCTTCGACACTCACATGCTCACTTTTATTTCATTGGCTAATTATCTTTGTCATTCACATGTTCACTTTTAATTCATTATCTAGTTAGCTTTGACTCTCACATGATCTCTTTATTTAATTATTTAGTTATCTTCGACACTCACATGCTCACTTTCATTTTATTATCTAATTATCTTATACACTCACATGCTTACTTTTATTTCATTATTTAGTTATCTTCGACAATACTCACATGATTATTTTTATTTTATTATCTAGTAATCTTTGACACTCACATGCTCACTTTTATTTTATTATCTAGTAATCTTTGACACTCACATGCTCACTTTTATTTTATTATCTAGTAATCTTTGACACTCACATGCTCACTTTTATTTTATTATCTAGTAATCTTCGACACTCACATGCTCACTTTTATTTTATTATCTAGTAATCTTTGACACTCACATGCTCAGTTTTATGTTATTATCTAGTAATATTCGACATTCACATGCTCACTTTTATTTTATTATCTAGTTAGCTTCGACAGTCACATGCTCACTTTTATTTTATTATCTAGTTTTCTTCGACACTCACATATAATCATTTTTATTGTACTATTAAGTAATCTTCAACACTAACATGCTCACTTTTATTTTATTATCTAGTTATCTTTAACACTCAAATGATCATTTTATTTTATTTTCAGGTTATCGTTGGCACTGAGCTGTACAATGTTGTTACAATATTACCCATTCGACAGTCAACGGTGTCCACTAATTATACAAAGCTGTAAGAAACGGTTTTATTAACCTTCAACACTCTCCGACTACTTTAACACGTGCTTGCTAATAACTTTATTCCACAAATGTCTTTTAAAACATGTATCTCTTCCCTTTGTACATCCTTCACAAAAATGAAGGTGACACAAGTAAATTATTATAAAAGTATTAATTTCAATACTGTTTACTTTTTGTATGATCTGTGACCTATGTATAAATTTTAGTTCTTCCGCTAAACCAAAAAGGACTTAATGTGTAAATAGAAACATAGCAGTCACAATATATAAACAAGTCTGTTTCCTGTTATTGCAAGAAAGATTAAGTTTAAATACATATATATTTACTCCAAAGAAAGGTACAGTGAGCGGAAGTAACATGTGCTTGTAATCGCAAGACAGCGTACACATTGAATTGTATAGACTTGCAAGACAGGGTATATATTGAATAATATAGGCTCGCAATCAGGGTACACTTTGAATTGTACAGGCTCGTAAAATGAGTAGACTTTGAATTGTATAGGCTCGCAAACAGTGTACACTTTGAATTGTATAGTCTCGCAAACAGGGTACATGTTGTATTGTATAGAGTCGCAAGACAGGGTTAACATTGAATTGTATAGATTCGCAGACATGGAACACTTTCAATCAACAGGGTACACTTTGAATTGAATAGAGTAGCAAACAGGGTACATGTTGTATTGTATAGAGTCGCAAGACAGGGTACATGTTGGATTGTATAGAGACGCAACACAGGGTACACATTAAATTGTATAGAGTCGCAAGGCATGATACACATTGAATCCTACAGAGTCGCAAGACATCGTACTTTTTGAATTAATATGGTACACGTTGTATTGTAAAGAGTCGCAAGACAAGGTACACTTTGAATTGTATATGTTCGCAAACAGGGTATACATTGAGTTGTATAGAGTCGCAATTGGTTACAGGGATCAGTGGTTTCGTTTATCTCATTTGGTTTTTGATAATGATACACCATCGACGAGTTTAGAGGTCATTTACAACATCCCATGTCAACCAACCAATGGTCGGGACAGCCTGTTCCTACACACAGTCTGACTCTGCACTGTCAATACCGTTATATGTTTACAAATCATTAAATAAGGCTTCAAAAATTAACAAGGCAAATGCTCAGTCTGATTAAAATCAGCTTTAAATAACGCTCCGCATATGTAAACTTAAGTCAGATTAGGCATATGCTTGAATACTAGGAATCAATTTCAAGTAAATACTTACGAATACTTATTTCTGAAAATCTGAATAAGCTTTGTAGATAAGACCTAAGACTATAATATGATTGTCGTTAAAATGTTTGAAATAATTTTATTTACAGTTGGTTACACACAGGATAACATTAATTTGGATTGGTATAAAATAAGCCCAGTATCAGCTGAAAATCTTGAGATGCCACAGTTTGAACTGGCGGAGGACGATATCACAACGTCGGATTACAGCTCCCCTTATTCTCAAAGTAATAACAATTCAAAATTATCATATGAGCCGCGTCACGACAAAACCAACATAATAGGTTTGCGACCAGCATGGGTCCAGACCAGCCTGATCAGGATCCATGCTGTTCGCTTACCAACCCTTTTACAAGCAAAGACACTGATAGCGAACAGCATGGATCCTGATCAGACTGCGCGGATGCGCAGGCTGGCCTGGATCCATGCTGGTCGCAAACGCACTATGTTGGTTTTGTCGTGACGCGGCTTATGTGTCTTTGACATGAATATGAATGTAAGTAGGAGCATTTGAAAATATTGCTATTGTAAGTAATAATAGGACGCAGTTTTTTTAACTTTGATAGTTCTATTAATGTATGCCAATTGCAATACTGGATTTTATCACTGAAATAATATCTACATGTATATCACTGATAGTATATCGCAAAGTATAAGTGGTATAGCTTTCCCGAACCCTTTGTAGGCCAGCAAATTATTTTTATTTGTATATATATAATTTACTTATAATATATATAATTACATAGATTTTATATAATAATAAATAGCATGTTTTGATATTAAATTTCAGCCGGCACTTTTTCGACATTAAAGGCAGAGCTTCACCTTACCAGAAAAGTCGGGTTTTACTTCTTACAAGTGTTTGTACCAGCCGTTCTCTTAGTTGTCTTATCTTGGGTATCTTTCTGGGTTGACCCAAATGCTGTACCTGCACGGGTTTCTCTCGGTGTCACGTGTGTACTGACGATGACAACACAGAGCGCGGGTATACGGCAGTCACTTCCACCAGTGTCCTATGTGAAAGCAATCGATGTTTGGATGTTTGTATGTTTGCTGTTTGTATTTGCGGCATTGTTAGAGTTCGCCTATGTTAACGTTCTTCTACGAAGGAAAGCCCCAGTGAGCCATGAAGCATATGAGTTGAGAAAAACAGATGGTGAGGTATGTATTTATTTGTGTGTCTCTCGGTTGTTAGATTGAGTGCACATTTTTCAGGGGTAATTTAACATGGCCGAAACGGGTCTTCATAACATACTGATGCATTGCGTTGTCCGTCCGTCCATCTGTACATTCCTGAATTGTTTAAGGATTTTAATGATCGTGCTTAAATTTTGTTTTTAAGATTTTTTTTGTTAGAGCTTTTTTCTCTTCTAGTAACTGATTATTTATAATATTATAATTTTTTTTATGCAAATTGTGAAATTATTGTTTGTATCTATTTAAAAGGATTACTTATTTCAATAATTGCGTTTATATTTGGTATGTCAAAACGTTATGATAAAGCATATGTCTAGTTCGATGTTTCAATAATTAGGATATCATTGATAGAGAAAAGCCCATTTACATTTGGCTGAGATTGTTTTCTTAACTAGGGGGTTTGCAGTGTGTAGAGTGAGATCACACAGTTCTGCACTCGAGTGAATTTCAATTTTAATCTGTTTCATGTTCTATTGAGGCATATTTTAAATAATAAAATGTAATAAGACAAAGTTAAAAAAATAACGGATTTTTTGAACAAAAGTTTTGTTTTTCTTCATGCTGAATGAAATCTTAGTTTGGAATATAGTTAATTAATCTACAAGGTATTTTGCGACCTCATTAAAAAAAAACAAAAAAAAACAAACGTTACATATATTGTTTCTTTCACTTCAAAAGAAAATCCATCAATTGTTCTGGTTTACAACACTGTCTATCTTTATAATGTATTTTTCTTATCTATAACCCATTCATAAGATTCCAATCAAGTTATATCGCTCAGCGGTAATCTGGTTTGTCCCTGCGTCAATCATTGTGAAAAAGTGCATTTTAAATCCCAATAACGCCAACAACATTTCCTGGTTTATATAATTATCATTCTATCTAATTCAAAAAAGAAACATCTGTGGATGTTTCTATATTCCATTGTGTTTAAATGTTGAATTCAGTTTAAGCCGGTGCTAGGGGGCGTGGACGGTAACTTTCACTTTCCTTTACTGTCCATGAACAGGCTTAATCAAACCGAGCCTACAATCTTTTCAATGTTCTTTAGGGATTCCATTTCTCTTTATTTGCCAAAGCTTGTAATGAGTAAGAGCTACTGTCGTTCATGCAATGACACAATCAAACCGAACTTACACAATTATGAACGTTGTTGTATTGCGCAACATATGTTGTTCTCTCTTTAACTAAATTAATAGTTTTTATTAGTACATAATTGCTATTTGGTCCGTATTATAGAACACGTTTACAATGAAAGTATCTAAGATCCATTCATAACATAACCGAATTTCTTTTTCAGGATACTAAAAATGAAAAAGACGAGGTCAAAGGCAGAGGTGCAAAAATACTGGAATTTATTCGAGTGAGTATTTGAACATGTACTTTAAAACTTTAAAGCAACAAAACCTGAGAAGAAGTGTTGACCTTAGGCCAGTTTGAAAAAAACAATAAGCGACGGTATGAGTTTACACATATTTACCTTTGCTCGATGGTATGAAAGCCTTAAGCCTATCTGAACCGCTTTTAGGTCCGCTCCATTAAACTTACCAGTACGGGTATCATATGAGGAAACACGGTTGTGGGCTAAGTAGGGTTTGAATCCACGCTGTCGATGTAAAAAGCACTGGCACTTTAACTACTTAGCAACCGCTCCTCATAGCAAACAATTTGATATATCTTTAAGGTTTTCAAATACTTACGGCGCCAATGGCTTGACATCGATGTAGAGTAAAACCCGATTCGCATGTCTTGCAGTGTAGACGACCAACACATTTGTGTTGCCTGCAAATTTTAAACATTTTTTAATCATGCTATATATGAGCCGCGTCACGACAAAACCAACGTAATGCGTTTGCGACCAGCATGGATCCAGACCAGCCTGCGCATCCGCGCAGTCTGATCAGGATCCATGCTGTTCGCTTACCAACCCTATTACAAGTAGAGAAACTGATAGCGAACAGCATGGATCTTGATCAGACTGCGCGGATGCGCAGGCTGGTCTGGATCCATGCTGGTCGCAAACGCATTACGTTGGTTTTGTCATGACGCGGCTCATATGTTCAACTATTTTTTTATCAACTGGATTGGTTTAATTTCAGAGTCCTGCCCCGGATGCAAAGACGAAAGCAAAGAGAGTCGACATTGTATCAAGATTTTTGTTCCCAATTTCATTCATTTTATTTCTCATCATATTTTTTATGGTTTGTGGGTTGGCCAAACATCCACCCCCAGACGACGATTAGTGGTTACTGGCACTCTAACATAATCATTTAATAAAACATTGAATGTGACTGTTGTCTCTGTGTTACACCATATCTTAAACCAAAAATAACTTACCATTGATTATATGCCACAATTAATTTGCCAAATACCTTTGAATTATATAACTGTGAAGTTTACAGAAAGTATCAGAAACCCAAAACGTTTATGCCAGTTTTATATCATCACTTCCTGTTATAAAGTACTGCAAATATGTCATAGTTATTTGTACGCACACAGTATGCATTGTATTTTGCTTTCCGAAATATTGTAAAGAAAATAATAAATAAATTAAATGCTATATAAACACCATTTCCTTTGTCATCCACTCACAATTGCTTTACAATATTTACCATAATTATGTGTCCAATTTTGATTAATTTTGTTGCCATATGTTTATATTTATATCTACATTAATGTACTAATTGAATAATTGGTAAGTTTTATCCTAGAGTATTATCAATAAAGTTATTTAAAAAAGCTTGGCTCTGCAATTCTTTTTTCTTGCTATTTGTATGTTTGGAGCAAGCATCTATATTTGAGCCGCGTCACGACAAAACCAACATAGTGCGTTTCGCGACCAGCATGGATCCAGACCAGCCTGCGCATCCGCGCTGTCTGATCAGGATTCATGCTGTTCGCTATCAGTTTCTCTACTTGTTATAGGGTCTGTAAGCGAACAGCATGGATCCTGATCGCGGCTCATTTAATTAATTTTAATATTCTTGATTTTTGTGAAACGACTATTTAATCTCTAAACTAGACACAATTTAAACCATAACCTTCTGGAACCGGAAGTGATTAGTGCTAGCCACCGGTAAGAATAAGAATTGGAATCATATATAGAGAAAATCAACTTATATATTGCTAACTCGGTTTCATACACTGACGGTATGGTTTCATATAGTGTAACTGTGGATTAATATAATGGGTTCCGGTTAAATAAGAAGGTGTTTTCAATTCATATATAGTCGAAGTGAACTTATATATTATCCAAATGGTTACATAAATTAAAAAAGAACAATATCAGACAGCCATGGCTTTCCATATTCGTCGGATACGTTTTGGACTTAATTGCTCCGAGACAGTGCAATATCACTATCCCAATTATTATATCACACTTTATAAATATAAATCTATTATTATCTCAGGGAGTGGGTTAGTAACAGCGAAATTAAACTGTATTTTTTTATTATAGATATTGATTCCGTAAGGATATTTTATAGTAAATTAGTCACAATATGATATGCATTAAATGAAATATTTGAAATATTTATGAACTGACCTTCGTATATATCAACATACTTCTGTTGGGACTAGTATATAATGGACATTAATTTCATGTTACTTCCATCTTAGCAACAAAACAGTCTAATTTCAGCTGACGTGTGCATAAATATTCTCCAATTAGAATAAACTCGAGACTTGAAAGCAGATACAGTCAAAAAGTTCAGAATAATTATACAGGACCAATTTTTATCAAATTCTCCAGGGATTTCGAGTCCTAAATTGTAAGGTGAATGACATGAACGGCAATAATTGCTTGCTATTATCAATGTCAAAGAGACAATAGAGAACGCATGGTTCAGAAAACAGACGCCAAATTTACTGGAAAATAATAATAGATTATATGGTATTTTGCAAGCGTAGAAATTATATAACTACACAAAAAAATGATGATCCGTGCCATGACAAAAACCTACATAATGGGTTGTGACCAGCATTGATCCAGACCAGTCTGTGCATCCGCGCAGTCTGATCAGGATCCATGCTGTTCGCTTACCAACCCTGTCACAAGTAGAGAAACTGATAGCGAACAGCATGGATCCTGATCAGACTGAGCGGATGCTGGTCGAAAACGCACTATGTTGGTTTTGTCGTGACGCGGCTCATACTAATTTATAATTTATTATATATCATCATTGCCAAAATGTGAAGCTCCGTGTACAGTAATACATTTACCTGTTTTTTTAAATATATACTATTAAAAATACACTATTTGCACATACAAGAGGTATAATGCAGCTGACTGTGTTTATAAAACCAACTTTGGAAGTGCTTTTTGATATTTGGCCGGAGTAAACTTTTCACATTTCAAATAAGAATACAATGATAAGAAATTGTATAAACACAACAAACTATATACATGTATATAATATTTTACAAACAGTTAACATTTTTGTTGACACCATATTAAAGGGTATACAGCTATATCAAATTTAATATTTTTATAAAGTTTCCATTTCACTATGATCTATTCCCGAAAAGTTTTAACATAGAATGTGTACATAAACAGAATAAAACGTTCCGGAACAAGTTTTTTACTGTTGTTTTAAATATGGTTTTAACCGTTTAGCAATAACTGCATGTCTGGCGCCATCTGCTTTTAAGGCATACACTTACATTTCTCTTTCATACAAGCATATTGGAAGCATTCACTTTTAAAAATTCAAATACACTTTAAGGACACCAACCGACATTCAAAGAGAACTTAACTCTGACATGTTTATGATTTTATTCATTGAGACATTATTATTATTATCATTATCATTATTATTATTATTATTATTATTATTTGATATTGATATATATTGAATAAAGGATGAAAAGATATAATTTGAAAATGAGGTGAACTTTATTACAATAATTACTCAACGAGACAGATGTATAAAGTTATTGGTGCTTATAAAAGCTAAATATTTAAAGGTATAAAGCAATATCTTATGAAATTTAAAAACGGTAAAATCATTTCTTATACAATTATTGACTAGTGTGCCATTGAATATGATGTGATGTTCACCGGCAGATGACATATTGACCGAGGCGATAGCCGAGGTCAATATGACTTTTTGCCGGTGAATATATCATATCATATTCAATGGCTCACTAGTCAATAATTGTTTTATCATATGAATAGGCTAAGAAAATCACAAAAGTACAACCTTATAATTATATGTACAAATCTTGCCTCGTTGAAGCGCGGGAAAAAAGACGCATGTGTTGGGCGTGCAACGACTACGCGAACGCTGCGCATACAAAAATAATTCAAGTTTATACGTATAGGTTAGTGTTTAATAATATGTATTAACAAAAATAATTGGTCAAGCCTGCCGCAGGCAGGCGACCAATTATTTTTGTTAATGCATGTTATTAAATATTAACCTATTTAATGATCAACATTATTTTTTCAACCAAAAACAAGGCATTTCACTAAATCACAGATAGCTCCGCCCTTTCGCACACAAGATGTCTACACCTTGTCAAGTTTCTAACATATAACATTTAGATAAGCTAATGAAGCGCCCTATCAACAAATAATCAGGCACATTTTTTTTACTGAAATGTCACAGAATTCATACCTTTATCTACAGTAAGACTATCATGTCTCTATAGAATATCTGGAAAAAACAGCAGGAAAATGATGCAATAAGGTAAAAACAATGGAGTTAATGAAATGTGTACATCCTTTATAAATAAATGGAAAATGTGAGAAAATACATTAGATTAATAATTTATACAAATTTGTTAATAGCTTTAAGTTATTCACTAACATTTAAAATCCCTATTGATTTGCTCATTTGAAAAATAGTTGAGGGGGTCCATTTACAATGAAGTTTTTCCAGCCAAAAATGTAATCATTGTTTCCTAATTATAATCAAGGATTGTTTAATGCAGTTCATTCCTATCAACTGAAAAGAAAAATTATGTTTTGGTTACTTTTCTAGATAAAAAAAGAAGTTTAAAACAGTCAGCAATTTATAACAGACATTTTTCTTCAGAGTTTAAAAGGATAAAAAAAAAGTTACTTTGTAATCATTTGCCTCTGCATGTCCCACATATATTATCTATGTAATAAATTAATTTGATTGTATCGTCACATTTAAAAACACCTGACCTCGCTTTATTGTTTTTTTACGTTGGCATTGTTTTGCTAACCTTTATAGTTTACAATTCAGAGTGCAAATCACACCTTTAACTTCTCCCTAATATAATGCATTATTGAAATTTGTTAGACTGGTTAGACGACAGATTAACTAAATTTTATTTAGTTAGTACACATTAACCAAAGTTAGACTTAGCAGAAATTTGAAAAATAATACAATGTGATTGGACAAAAAATAATGTTGATCATTAATCATCATTGCGGTGTAACCTTTAAGTATAGTAGTAAAGTATTGATATTTTAATCGAGAAATATGCCATAAAGAACAAAAAGCAACAATTATTTTGAAATCAACACGCGTAATTAACAGTCTACGGTGTATGATCATTGAATATGAGTCTCAATCTATTTTTAGACTGGGAAAATCCAATTCAGCCAGTGAATATGATACTACACCGAGTAAATATGATTTTATAAAAAAATCTGTTGACTACTGTTTGGACCAATGAGATTGCAGCTATATTAATTTAGATCATATAATAATGTTTATTATCTCATAGTCATTTCTCGGAAATAGTTACTACATAGAATATAAAGGTTATTTAACACAAATGAAAACTGCGAGTTTACAGAATATAATATCACAGAATAAAATATTAATATGCTTCTGTTTTTAAGTTTTAAACCGGTCAGTAATAAAAGTGTGCATACGCCATTCGCATAAAAGGGAATATGCCAACAATATTTCAGAATTCAAACAGTTTAAGAGCTTAAAGGGACTCCACTGAGGTTTTTTGACATGACGGGACAGGAAATATTTTTTTTTAAGATTATTACTCTATTTGATATAGATCTATACTAATAATTTATGTGCAAAAATTCAGATCATTAGCTCTTTCCGTTTTTTTCGTAAATAATTATCATTATAGTGAAAAATGACCCCAAATTGAAAACCGTTTAAACGCTTTTCACTCGAATCGGACAGATAACAGCACAAACATACGATTTTCAATGTATTTCTTGTATATTTCTTAGTTATATTTTATTTATTTTTCTGTTATAAGTGTTCATGAACAATTATTTCTTTTCTTTTTTGAGGCTTATTAACCTCAGTGGAGTTCCTATCAAGTGATATTGCCATTAATGAAAAACAATGATAACGTAATAATTAAATGCCTTACACTGAACAAAATTGTAGATGAATATATGATTAAAAAACGAAGATAATCAAAATGTACGCCATTTTTCACAAACTGTTTATTTTATCAACAAATTGGTTTTCATACCCTAAGGACCTAATTTACTTTATTGAGATAATAATCTTTACATACATTTTTGTTTTCCTACATGTGTCCAAATGGACTTAAAATTACATAACTTCATTGGCTCATGTATAATTGATAATTAACAATTATTGCTATGGAAAATCGAACACGTTTTGTTGTATTTCTTAAATAAATTCGCTATCTATGGTATGACAGTTGTGCATGTACATGCTAGTACTCTTTATAAATTAATTATCTCACAATGTGTTAAGATTTATTATTGATCATCATCATCATATCAGCATACCCGCTTTGTTACTGTACTGTGCATAATTTCAGATAATGATATGATTTGATTTAGTAATATGTACCGTTGTAAAATAGGAAAGGGAATACACAAAGGAGTGTTTGGATTTAAAATAGTGATCTGTTTGGTAATTTTGTTTTATTTCCTGTCTTTCACATCCATCGTGCCAGATACCGACTCGACCGTCGTACTAAACCCTGTTGCAAGAACAAGATCTTATAATGAAAGTGTTTATTTACAGACTAGTTCATATGCTACTGGACCGACAACTTCTATATCAGTAAGTACTTTAGAAACTTTTTTAGCAAGGGAAGTCTTTGGGTATTGAAAGGATGGGGGTTAAAAATAAAAAGGACCACAGCAAACGAAAAAAGATCAAATAACGGAAAGTTACATGGGAAACGAGAGTCCATGATCAACACAGTGTTTAAATGACAACGAAGAGGGTACATGATAAAAAAAGAAAAAATTTGTTAAAAAAAACGCTGAACTATGTTTGGTCTCGAAAGTTAAGGAAGAAGTCAAAATAATTAAAAGAAGGGACCAAACATAAAAAGAAATCGTATGAAACAAAAAGGTTTCCAAGTTAAATAAAGGAAAAAAGTAAAAAGGACAGGTACTTTGGAGAAAACAGAAAACATAAAATAATTGGTTGCAAGGATGTTTTCAAAAGAGAAATGTCGGGTGCAAACAGAGTTCGTAAAATTGTCACTCAGGACTTGCCGTCTTGGACAATTTATAAATATAAAGAAAAAACTAGAAATTGTTCATCTTTTATCGATGAAAGAGGGTACATAACACATCATTTGACAACAGAAGAACAACAGTTTCCCATCGCTTTCAGCATTTTAATGTATAAGAATGTCGAACAAGTTGAACGTCTTTTACGTGCAATATATAGGCCACAAAATATTTACTGTATACACGTCGATTCAAAAACTAATATTGAAATATATAAAGCGTTGTCAGGGATATCAAATTGTTTTGAAAATGTGTTTGTTTTACGCAAAAGAGTTAATGTTATATGGGGTAAGATGTCCGTACTGACACCAGAACTTTTATGCATGGAGGAACTTTGGAAAAGACATAAAACATGGAAGTATTTTATTAATCTAACAGGGCAGGAATTCCCGCTGAAAAAATTATGAAAGTGAAATTTTCGGGCCCTATAATGGGCTAATGACGTAGAACCCCTGTAAATTGAGTATTTGTTTTTTATGGTCAGGCATAATTTGATTTCCATAGACTTACTTAAATAAAAATGGGTCAAAATCCTACCTAAAATTGAATTTCAAAAACTAAAAAAATTTTTTTTGGGAAAATTTTTTCCTAACATAAAGGTTCCTTTTTTATTATACCAAATTTTTTTTGCAAAATGAAAAAGAGGAAAAACCCCCTTTTCTTTGAAATTTTTGCGTCAAGCGACAAATACATTTTTTAATGCAAAATCAATTCAAAATTATCATAGAGACCTTTTTTAAATATTTTTTTTTCCGCGACAAAAGAAGTGTTTTTCAAAATTTTTTTTAATTACTTTAATACCCCTTTTTGATCCCAAATCATTATAAATTTGAAAAAAAGGTTTTTTCCGTGAATTTTCCCCTCGGGCCATTTAAATTTCTCCCTACCCTTTAAAATTTGATTGAAATTTAATTTTGTTAAAAAATTGGACAAATTATTTAGAAATTATTGCCCAAAGGTAATTATTCTTTTTAAACATTACAATTTTTTTTAAATAACTTTTATGGGATGAAACAATTAATATGAATTTTATCAAAAAATCACAAAAAGCGTGTTTAAATACGGTTTTTTTTTAAAAAAAAAAACTTTAAAGTAAACTTCTTTAGTAAAACTTTTCTTATCCTTTATATGTACGATTCCATTTTTATGATAAAAAATAATTTTTAAATTTTTATGTTTTATTTTACTTCAGTTTACCGAAGATGTAGAGGAAAAAGCAGAACCCCCCCCCCTCAGGGTATTCGGGGGTAACAAGGGGCGGTCCATGTGCCTTTCCCCCGGGGAATTTGATTTTTTTTTTTAATGACCGTAGAGCTCGTGATATTTAAAATGGTGGTAAATTGTGAAATCCCGGGGAAGCGTTTTTTTAAAACGCTAAATCATAACCCACTTTACAGTGCCGGGATTTTTAAAATTAAAAGGTAAAAAATTTGTTAAACTTTAATTGATTTGGAATCTTTGTTATTTTTTTAAAATTCATTGTAAAAAAATTTTTTTTTTTATCTTTAAATTTTCCTTCAGTCAGCCCTTTTTTCCAAATTAAAAATTTCAAATGACTTTCTTTCCTCCCCTCTTGGAGGGGTTATCCCGGGGATTTTTGGGTATTTTCCAGAAGGGTTTTCTAAAATTGAACCCCCCAAAAAACGGATGGTTTTGGAAAATCCGCCTATTTATAAATATTGTTGAAAAAGGCGTAAAATAAAACCCAAAAAACAACAAACAAAAAAAAATAAAAATTAAAAATTGATTATCATAAATTTTCATTAAAAATGTACCCATTTTTTAATAACACACAAAAGTTAAAAAAGTAAAAAAATACTTTTTTTACTGAAGTGCAGGGCTTGATCAGGACTTACATAAAATTTTATTTTTTGTTCTTGGGAAACTGCTTTTAAAGCACTAGCTTATGAAAATTCCAAAGATTTTTTTTTTAAAATTTTTATAAAGGGCGTAAAAAAATTTGTGAAATATTTACAATTTCCTTTAATAAAATTTTTTATTTTTGGTCGAAAAAAACCCTTTAAGGGTTTCCCTTTGCCCCTGGGTTTGGGCCAAAAAATCTTTTTGCCGCAAAAAAACGGGGTTAAAGGCTGCCCCCTGAAATTTTACATGTTTTTTTTTGATCTCTTGTTGTTGGGGCGCTTCCGGACTTACTGGTTCCCCCCTTGCCCTAAAAGTTTTAATTTTGGCCAGGCTCAAAAAATTAGTTTTTGCTTTTGGTCCCTTTTTTCCTGTTTGAAAACCAAAAATCACTCCCCCAACCTTTTCTTGCCCGGGGCCCAATTTCAAAACCCCAAAACCCTTTTTTTAAAAATCACTTTCTGATCAAAATTTTCAAACTGTGACCACAAAACTACCCTGAATTTTTTTCATGTCTGTAAACCACATCATTTTACCAAATCAAAATTCATGTGTGTGCAAACTTTCACTAACCAGATCTTTTTCCTTTCGGTAAAAACCACATCTTTAAACCAAGATAAAGTTTCCCTGTCTGTGACTCCACCCCCTCCCTGAAACAAGATCAATTCCTGTTGGGGACCAACCCACCCCTTTTCCGGGATTTTTTTTCCAAAAAGTGCCCAAAATTCACTACCAGTTTAAAAATTTCCCCTTTCTGGGGAACCAACATAATTCCAGATCTATTTCCTTTTGTGTGCCACTCACTCCAGATTTTTTTTTCCTGTTGTGACCACATCATTTACCAATTTTTTTCCGGCCTTTTGAAAAATCCTACCTGATTTTATTTCCTGTCTGTGCCCCACCCTCCCTTGTCTTTTTTCCGTTTTTGGGGGCCACATTAATACCTTTTTTTTTAATTTTTGTGACAAATCAGTACCGATTTTATTTTTTTTTCTTTGACCAACTTAACTATCTGACCTATTTTCTGTCTGCCCCCCAATCACAAAACTCGCCCTTTTTTTTTCTAAACCTTGTTGGAAAAAAGGGCCAAAATTTACTAAAAAGGCTATTAAATAAAATTATTTTTTTCATATTCGTGTTTCGTTTTTCCCCCGCCCCATATTTGTGGATTTTTTTAAATTTGAAATGAAAACCCACCCCTTCCAAACGAAATAATTTAAAATAGGAATGAACGTTTAATGCATAAAATTATGTTTGTATCTATTTACTATTTTAACTTAATTTTAATAGTTTAAATAATTCCAAATATACAATACTCACCTGTAATGCTGAGTACTCAAGTATATTATTTATTGATAGCTACTATCCCTAGTCAGACCAAACAAAAGTCTATGTCTGGACTATGTATGAATTACAACTGCATTCATTGATTGATTTACCTCCCTTGGAAGTATTTTTTTTTACTTTTTTCTATTTTAGTACACTCATATTATATCATTTATATCTAAACTATTAAAATCATGGCTTTTTATGTTAGCTATTTATAACTCATTGTATCAAAAATGAAACGTTTTTTTATTAAAAAAAAAAAGACAAATAAAAACGTAGATTTAAAATTTATAAAATAATGAATGAACGCACCAAATTCCTATTTAAGGACGGACTTTGTAGGCGCTGTACATGCCACATACATTTTATCATTTTCAAGATATTCAATATGCACGACGAAGCTTTGTATTACACCGACCACTTCCGGTCATATAATCATGGCAGTTAAATCTTATTTTATTTTCATGTCACAGGTTATCCAGAAACAACTGCGATATCAAACACGAAGAAACCATATTTAGCTCGTTTCAAAAACAGGCTCCATTCCCGGATGCATCGCTGGCCGTGCCATGGCAAGTGGGTAAGAGGCATGTGTATATTCAACTTCAAGGATCTTCATACACTGTCGACCCGTAAAGAACTGTTTGCAAATAAATTTCATCTTTACGATAATCCTTTACCATACGCGTGCATGGAGGAATTGATATTTAACCGCACACGTGACGAATTCCAAGGGACAAGAAAGTTTGATGCGAGTTGGTATTCAAACCTGGGTTTCGTTAAGAGACATGTTTGAAATATTAAATATTTGTTGAGTGTATTGTGGAAGTTTTATTTCACATTTTATATTAATGAATATGGCAAGTCAAAGGGCAGGAAAAATTGCCCTACTGATAATATATTTATACCAGAGCTGTCATAAGACAACGTTTAATACGTTCATTGTATGTGAGTGTCATAAAATAAATCATTTGCCATTTAGAGATTAAATAGTTCCAGGTTCACAGTGATACAGCAAGACATATAGATTTCCCATACTTATAATTTGTCATAAAGTCATGAAATTAAAAATTGTATTTCAAATAGATGCCAAAGTACCAATTGTAACGCAAATTTCACCAGTTGATTGAGTTGTTATTGCTCTGCAAAGCATCATTTGTATTCATGTTACGTTTTGACCACAACAATAAGTGAGAATTTATCATTGTATTTATACACATCCGAGTCGTTTTTCAAGAGTTTAACACTTCCTCCGTAAAAAGAATGTTTTAGTTAATCATTTTTGAAAGTCACTATAAGTATTGACAAAATTTATAACTTTAATAAAGTTTATTTTTACTATCTATGTGCATTTTTACACGAAAATGAATTTAAAAAATGTTTCACTAAAATCAGACTTAAAAAATGTACTTAGATGAGAAGTAAATAGTTTCAACATTCAAGTAATATTTTACTTATTATGTGCGATTAATGACTGACTTTTCAGTATATAAAACAATATTTCTACTGTGTTACTAACGCAGTAAAGACTATTTTAGTATATTTTGGCCACTGTTTTGGTAATTTACGTGGTTTGTATGTGCCTTCGATAATGTGTAAATTGCTTCCATTTGATTACTTCACAAAATTCCACGTTCAAATACATTTTCACAATTTTGATGAAAATTAGCATGAATCTTGAGGTGTGCTGCTCTAAAAGGATTCCGCCCAATCTATATCATATACCTTCTATATAAAACATTATCTCAGGCATTGAAAGTACGAATGTTAAAACGTGTTGTACAGAAGTCCGTCAAAGAGCCTATTGTGGTCATCCGTAAAATACAACACTTTATCCGCGGCGAATCTATAGACCTGAGTTGTCTTACATGGTGCGTTTGAAGTTTCCTGTCCGGCTGCATGTTGTCTGACTACATATTGAAACAGTTTTATTACCAATTGTTCATGCTTCATGTAATCTAAGAAAGACAACTTTTTGAAAAGAAGCAGTTACAAATAAGTAAAAGAGTAATGTTTTTTTTTTGCTTAGCTTACTCGAAATAAGCAAGACCCAAAAAAATGCTATATAAATAATAGGTTTATTTGAAATTAATACTAGTACATATTATAATAATTGTATGTGAAGGTCTGAAACACCGCACTTTGGGGTCAAACGCACTTTGGGGTCCGACCCCAAAGTGCGTTACGTACTTTGGGTCCAAACCCCCTTTCTGTTTTTCCCGCATTTTGGGGTCAATTTCCCCCCAAAAGTGCGTTAAACGGTCCCTATGCTTTTTTAAACATCAGGAAAACGACCGCCTTTGGGGTCAAAAAAACAAAATTTCATTTGTTTTAAATAATATATTGTAAAAACCCAAATTTTGAAAAAAAAAAAATAAAGGGCTTTAAAATTTAGACAAAAACATGTCCCCTGAATTATAAAAATCATAGGGATTTAAATGATCTTATTATTTTAGATGGGAAGAAGTTTCACCAAATAAATCATCAATTAAGAACTTTGTATTTGTTATTTAACTTAAACATATTTTTCTCAAATTTTCCATTTATTTTAAAAGGGAAGTACACCTCTTCATTTAACTCCATTGTTTTTAGCTTAATGCATTATTTTTCCCGTTTTTTTATTTACACATTTTTAAGAAATATGATAGTCTTAAGCATAGACAAAGGTTTTAATAAATGCTTTGGGGAAATCTTAGTTAAAACATTTCATAAAAAAACATGCCGATAATATCTTGAAAGGGCCATTTTATTTAGCAAAAGTGAATATAAGAAACTTGACTGAGGTGTAGTGCGGCTTTAAGTAGTCAGTCTGTACAGGCAGTACTAAAAATATCAACTATTTTAGGTAGTCGCAAATTATGAGCGGAGCTTCAGAATAATGTAAAATTCTCTTTTGGGGTATAGAGGGGATTGTTGGGGTATTGATCCCCCGAGGGTTAAAATAACGTTTTAAAAGCACAATATGCTTTTATTTGTTTCTTTTAAAAGCTTTCTTATTTTGATGTTTTTCTATATCATCCAAAAATATATTATCCAAAAAATATATAATTGGCCAATTTACCTGAACCATCTTTTTCATCTGTTGCTTTTTGGCAATGGATAAGTACAGTTATAGTGAATTAGTGTTTTATATGGAAGTCAAATACTACAGTGTTCGTTTCTTTTATGACGAATAATATCACAGTTATCGCTACTTTCTTTAGATAACAAAGCATCTTACATTTTCTCAGATACCATTATTTTAAACATTATAAAATTCATGTTTGCTCTTTCTTAAGAAGTATGTAAGATTTCCAATAAAAAACCTCTGGCGAACGGTAGTTACGGAGCTTACAAAACCCTTAAGTTTGTTGATAAGCTTAATAATGTTTTTGTAAAAATCACTATTTATAGTCCGATCGAAAAAAAAAATTCACCAGAACATTGTAATAGAGTATATTTATAGAACTTGAAAAAGACATTAACTGCATTTTTTTTCATTCCCAACCTATTTAAAATGGGGCTCAATATGGCACCAAAAGTTATCAAGTAAATGACCGACAGAACGGGATACTTTTCGCAGCATCTTTTAATTCTAGGAATTACACAATTTTTGCACTAGAGTATTTTGAACGGTGGCATAAAAGTGACATTTGTATTTTTTATACTTTTATTTTGTTTTTCGTACATATTTTTGTTTGTTTGTCGTAATTTTTTTTACATATAGTTTTGAATACATACTTTTTTTTAGATTGCATACATATTCTTTTTTTAGTTTGCATACATATTTTATTTTAGTTTTGCATACATATTCTTTTTTAGTTGCATACATATTTTATTTTATTTTTTTGTACAATTTTTTTTTTGTTTATTCGTACATATTTTTACATGACGTCATTTGCAAAGTAGAGGTTTTTTGGATAATTACACCAATAGTTAAACACCATTTTCAAACACTTCGCCATCTGTAAATTACAGTATGCCATTTGCAAATACCAACATTTACATTTTTTAGTATCCGCGGTAACCCAAAGAAAGGTTCTGCATATGGTTTCGTTGTGGTTAACATTTGTCACAAGATGCCTTAAGATCCTTCATGGGGTTTCGGAGATAAGGAGTGGACATGAAAGACCAAACTCTTTAATATCCTTTGACATGTAGCTGTGACCCCGACCTTGATCCGGCACACCTGCATAAAGTTCTGTACATTATCTGGATGACCTAAGTTTCATAATTCTCAATTCTCAGAGGGTGAGGTTTGAGTGGTGCATATTCATGGAATTTAATAACTGATCACAAATCAACAGCCCTTTCCAAATAGACAATAATATAACAGTATATAATAATAAAAAAAACAATAATTAAATAAAATACATATGATATAAAAAATGGGCCGAAAAGGGTCGGCCGAAACCAGACTTGCCCGGTCGAAACGACTGGGCCGATTCCAAAAATGGGCCGAAATGTGACTTAACCACTCTGCTAGTTTTATACTCAACTATGGGCTGTTATGAGATTTGAAGGTTGTTTTGATTGGTTAAAATATGTATGAAAAAACAAAAATAACATATGTACGAAAAACAAAATAAAATATGAATGCAAAACTGAAAAAAATATTGTATGCAAAACTCAATAAAATATGTATACAAAACTAAAAACAAAAAAAAATGCAAAGTGGTAACATTAATGAAACTTTTATCACTAAGCATTATAAGAGTATTGACCGCCATCTTGAATTCCAACTCAATATTCCAATGTCGCAGATAGAAAATAAGTCAGTACTCAGTATTTAAGCAGAACTCCGATGACACCTCTCAGACCTCTTGAACCCAAAGTGCGTTGATATGTAGCATATTAACGCACTTTGGTGGTCAACTTCTCGATTTTGATCCAAAAGTGCGTTTGACCCCAAAGTGCGGTGTTACAAAGGTCAAAGATTAACATATTAGTTAGAATACAGGTACAATTTCCACGAAAGAGCAGATATTTCATTGTACATGTATTGATATCTTGGTATCAGAACTAAAATTTGACTTTGGGCCACGGCACCCACCCCCTTGAGCTGCAAAGGGTGAACTAATATCTATGCCGATAGTTGCCCTTAAAATTTTTTCATATAAGTTTAAAATTAGTTTAAATCACGAAAAAATGTTTTTAAGGAAAATTGTTGGCAAATGATTAATGAAACCCATATTATTTTTTTAACTTTACTTTTAAAAGGAAAAAATGATTTAAAAGCAACATATATTTTTTAACCCCTTTTTTTTTAGGGTTTGGTTTTTAAAATTTTCCCCGGTCATACGGTCTTTAAAATAAAAAAGTTAATAAAATTTTAAACCCCTTTTTATATTACATAGGAATATTTTTAAAATAAGGTTTTAGCTTTCGTTCACGATTGCAAAAACCTGTAATTTGTATTTGTTTAGATTTTCCCTTATTCCATGGCTTGGAATAGAGCATTAAATATTCCAGACAAATTTGTCTAATAGAATAATATTAACAATTACATGTATCATTCAATTATTAATATTTATATTGACCCTAAAGCTCATATCCGGAACAGTCGGGAAAGTGAACATTTGATTAAATTGGGCTCCGGATATCGGAAGGATTTATTATGGTTTATTCAGAAATAATCAAATTTAAAATTATGTTTTTAAAAAGGGGGAACAAACGTTTTGGGACAAATGCCAGATATTGATAAAAAACTTGATATCGAAGGTTATAAAAAATGTTTTTAATAAATGTTATCAATAAAATACGTTAAATTTTTTAAAAAGGAAGTGTGATACAAGCATGTGTTTTATTATATTTTAACATTTTATCAAGCAATATCACGATCAAAACTGCCATAGAATTTGTCTAGGGACATTTTCAAACAAACAGTTTTTGATCGTATTATTCGTCTTAGGAATAACTGGGCCGCCTACGTAAATCCCCTTTTTAAGAGGAAAACCGTAGCATCCGTTTTGGCATTGCAAAACGGAGGGAAAAAAAAAAAACCTCCTCCAGCGGGGGGGACTATTTTCCTCGGAATATAGAACAACAGACCTGCTTCAGATATGCCAATAAACATATAAATACAAAATACAAAAATACATTACAGCTCAATAAAGGAAACGTTTCTTTATAAGAAAATATTATCTTAATTAAATAGTAGAAGGTAGTGTGATATTTAATGTAAGTTTTGCTTTGAAACCATGTATAACAATGTAATTATTTTATTTTATTTTTCACATGGGTTAAGTTAATGATGGCATTTGAAAACAGTGTTTTGTTTTGTACCGTCATCGGTTACAAGTTATCTAATGACTATTCT